ATATATATATATATATATATATATATATATATATATATATATATATATATATATATATATATATATATATATATATATATATATATATATATATATATATTTGGAATAAGAACAGAGTATAAAAGCAGAATATAGTAATCTAACAAAACCACTAATTAATCATCCCTAATTAATTGCCATAATAAAACCACGCATACCACTAATTAATCATCTCATCCCGTGCCTAATTAATTGGCATAATTAAACCAGCAGCCACTAATTAATCCCCTAATTAATAAATCCAGATCCAGATCCAGATCCAGATCCAGCAGCCACGCCACATTTCAAACTCATCTAACTAAACCACAAATTAATCCGTAATTAACTGCAACTGGTGTTTACATGTAAACTATCTCATTGTGAAAATCTGAATCAAGCTGGTCAGGGCTCACTTTAAGCATTCCATTGAAGCCGAATCGTCGTCGCAGTTCTATGGCACCATCGACGTCTTGTCTAGTTCGCACGCGTAATTCCAGAAAGCTTTCAATTTCTATTCCGATCATGATGTACCTCCGCAACCACGCCGTTTCCATTTCTGAACGGGGCGTAGATCTAGGACGATTTCGCCTTGCTAACCTATGTTCCCTCCTAGCCTGGATAAATTCCCTCAGTAGGTCCAAAGTCGGAGATCGAGGAGGAGCGGCGGCGGCGACTGCTGGTTGAACTTGAGGAGGGCCGGCGCCTGCTTGTCCTGCCATTTTTGGGTGTGAAAAAAAGAGGTGAGGGGATTTGTGTGGTGGTATTTATAGGGGTTTTTTGGCGCCTTTTTTTCTCTACTGAAAACTCAATCCATCAATTTGGAAGAATCTCGAAGGATTTTTTGAATTCAAATTTGTGTGTGTGTGTGTGTGTGTGTGTTTGAGGTGTAGGCGTGTTTGTTTTTGTGCAATGCATCGATGATGTGGCAGTGAAAATGAAATCAGGTTATTGTTATTCCCTTCATTCAAGATCAAAACATCTACATTTATTATTTTGCGTATCCTAATTTAGCTAAATGGGCATGTTATGCAAATTGAATCAGACTCTTGTCTGTAATTTCCCTTTTGCTTGCTTACTTCAATTTGTTTCTAGAGTTTAATAATAATCAAATAGTTAATTAAATCATCCACCATTCCTACTAATTTTATATTTGGGGGCTTCACCACTTTATTTTTTAATTTGGGTTTAGCGTTCGGCATTCATATATTACCTTAATTGTTAAAAGGGGTTGCCTACGGTCCGAGAGGATCGTACTTCTCGGACCCTAACGATTGAATCTGGGAATCGTACATCATCGTATATGCATCATAAACTTAAATCTATAAATAATACCCATTAAAAAATATTATAATAATCGATAATTAACCAAATTACAAGTCAAATTAAATAAATGTTTTGTTTGTTATTTTGAAAATGTACTGCCAATAACATGTTTGCAATCAGGGTGAACTTGTTTACAATGTTTCTCTTGTGTTATGTGCTTGTTTTTATGTCTCAATTAGGTAACCATTGGACATAATCCATTTATTTCACTTTGATCTTAAAGTAAGTTTTTCTTGTCTTTACACTTTGAAATACCTGACATCCTTATTGTTGTAGTTTCATTGTTTATCTCTCTATATACATATTCCCTCAAGTCATTGTTCATGTTAAATGTAGGGATTTTTTTAATGGAAATGTGAGGAATGCCATATCATATTTTCGTGTTTAATCTACTGATCTGTGAAGTTTTTTGAATCCATTAATCAGGCCTATAAATCAAAACAAAGAGCTAAATAAAATATAAAATTTGAAAATATGCCCTGTAGCCTGTAGGTTTCTATTGTGATTATCATTTGGAAGTACTTTTTTCAATAAAGAATTATGGGATTATAATGGGTCTATGTCATTGCTGTAGTTTCTCCGTGTGGTGGATTTCGTCTTTTGTCCCCATTTTTCGTCGGGGGAGCAGAGCATTCAAAGAATGAACCTAATGACAGGGATTACTTGGCTAACCATTCATTTCGCTAGCTAAATTTCTATTTTGTTGCTCGGGTTTTGTGAACTAGTATTTGATTGTTCAGAAAACACCTATGTTTTATGGACAATTTGTTATGCAGTTCTAGTGCAGGCCGAGTATTGCGTTACTTATGAAAATGATTCAAATTGAAGGCTTGTTGCAAATAGCCTGAAATTCCGTATATCGAGTGGGGATGATAAAGAAGAGCTTATTGTCATTCGAGATGAGATCGCACAGTGATATGTGTTCATTGAGATATTGGAATGTCTCATTGTCTTTGTTCCAAGTAAAGTTGTTAATGTTGCCATGTAATCAACTTGCTCTCATAAACATTAATTTCAGTAGTTATTAAACGAAGACTATTATTTTTTCAGCTACGACTTATTAAACTAAAATTATTAATTTTAGTTGTTACTAGGTCCAGTTAAGTTGCTCGAGTTTGTAGAACTGTATAACGTAACTATGTACATACGGATATCAGCCTAGCAAACCAAATAAGACATGTATTGTAGCTAAATGAGCGATCAGTTTCTGGCCGAGGATATTTATTTTCATAATGAATATGCACTTTCCGAACCATTGATATAAAAAACGACAAAGAAAAGAAATTTAGATGTACATTGAATGCAATAATATAAGTATCATTTTATTCAACAAGTTTCATATGTAGCAAACATATTTTACCCTCATGATCCAAGGAAAAATCACATCATAACTGGGTATACTATGTACAAAACTCAGGCCGATGCAGCACGGAACACCCTGCTCCAGCTTAGACATTCTGCTGACTGAAACTGATTTAGCTTCTTCACAGTGAGCTTTAACATCAGAAAAAATCATCGGATTGTCCAATATACCGAGGTTTTTTCACTAACTCTAGAGAACAAGAATATTGCTCTAACCGAGCCAATTGAAAGGAGTTGTCACTTTTTATCAGATCAACGTATTCCAAGTCTTTTCGAGCAAGGAAACATAACATAACATGAGGAGTTGAAAGATTAAAAGCATTAGTGTCAAGACCATGCTAAAACAAAATTAACTAAGCAGTGACGGCATGATGATACAAGTTGTCTTTTCAACCTAATTCACCAATTTAATTTTCGTCATTTGATTAGTAAAAAATCACAGTACTTGAATGGATTTTATTTGTTGACCATGAAATAGAATATCATAATGCAAAATTACAAGGGAAGATAGACCGATTTAGGTACACTTTCAAAGAAAAGGGGCGAAAACCTAATTATTTGTACAACACCTAGTTCTTTGATAACTTTGAAACCTAAACAATTCGTTACTGAAATAGGAAAGGTGAACGCAGTGGCGAATCCAGGTTTTTTACCAAGGGGGTGCGAGATTGGATAAATGTTTACGGAGGTTCGGGGGATAATTTAGAAAATATTCGGACATAAACTTGATGAAAATGTTCGAAAAACTATAAATTAATTATAGTTTCTAGTAGCAAAATGTGTATTTAAATAGTAGCCCCATAAATATATTATATATATATAAAATAAGAATTTAAAGGTTATAAATATTACAAAAAAAAAAAAAAAAAACATGTAAAATATTTAATAAGGTTTTAAGAAGATTATTTAAAAAGGTTATAAATATTACAAAAAAACATGTAAAATATTTAAATATTTAAAAAGGTTATAAATATTACAAAAAAAAAAAAAAAAAAACATGTAAAATGCACTGTATGGAGTTTTGAACTCTGCACCTCCCAAAAAATTACTTGAAGGGGATCACTATTTCAAATCCCAACTTTTGCTTACTTGAATACCAAAAAAATAAAAAATAAATAATTAATTGTAAATTAC